TCATTAGTCACTGAATCACACAATGATGAATCAATTAAACAGAAATCCCCAGACCTTCTGTGATAAAATGTGATGAAACAAGCAGTTATTGTTGTATTTAACCCAGTAAAGCCTCCATATCTCAGACTGTGAATCCTGTTCTGTCTCCATAATAATCAGATTATTGATAGCAGTGAGTGAACGGGTTGTAACGTAGCCGAGGTGCCTTCTCTCTCCACTTCCCATCCAGCTAGCTAACTGTAGCTAAGCTACAGCTTGCACTAAATACATATATAAATAATAAATATATACATATATATAATATATTGCCCATAAAGGTGGATGAAAGTGCAGCAGGAGATAACAACACCAATCATTGATCAACTGCTCTGGCTCCTAATTGCTAAAGATCACTACTGTATTATGATTTAATGCTATGCTATATTTAAAACTATGTTACAGAATTTACAAGTACAAGGGGGGCGAGGCCATGATGCTGCCCCTACGCATGCTGCACTCTGTCAGTGACTCAGTGCAGTGATGAAACGTGGGCTTAAACAGAAATCTGAATAATCCGGGTGATGATGAAACGAGCAGTTAAAAGTTGGAAGGACCTTCAGGCTGAGTCAGCACTCCTGGAAACAAGCAAAACTGACAAACAGAGCGATTCCTTAGAACCCTCTTTGATTCATGGTGGATGGAGGATAAATATCTGCAGCATGAAGGCTGCACATCAGAACCTCAACAGGAAACCATCAGAGTCCTCATTGAAGACCAGAGCATTACCAGTGAGTCTTTACCGCTTCCTCCTCCTCCTTCTTCTCCTTCTTCTCCTTCTTCTCCTGCTGCTGCTGCTGCTGCTGCTGCTGCAGGAAGTTTCTTTGTTTTAATATTATATTCATTAAGGATGCACAATATGGCCGATATGATAAGTGATCACTTGGGCATTTTTGTATTTTAAAAAGGAGTTTTACATGTTACCTGTAGTTTATTCACGCCTGATGGTGAGAAAACATGGATTTTTTAATATTAATATTATATAATAATATAATAATAATAATGTGCAAACTTCCATCAACAGTTTGGACTCTTCAAATGTTAATTTATTGTTTCTGGCAAAGTTAATTAAAAAACTGATTTTGGCTTTCATGCAACATAAAGTTTTGTTTTGCATAAAGTCCATATAAATTATTTTATTTAATATCAACTGATAATTTATAATAATATATCTCTCATCATTATTGGCTGATTATTCATCCCTAATATTTATTTATATATTTATTGAGTTCAGTTTTAAAAGAGTTGATGTTCTACAATTGAATCTGTTCCAATATTTTCCTGTCAGCAAATTGCACATTGATTCCTAGCAGTGAGGAGATGCCTTTAGGGAAATAATTTACACTTTAATGACACAAATAGATCAACAAACGTAATATAAACAAATAATCAATGAGATGAATAATAAGAGAAAGAGATAAAAGGTTTGTAATTCCTTGAAAACCCTGATGATGTTTGGTTGGTTGATTTTAGTTTGAATTAAACCCTCTTCCTTTTGCAGTGCATTGTGGGTACCTGTTCTACCTGTTCGTGGCATTGTGGGTGGAGCTTGCAGTAGGTATGAGCATAATCAAACCAAACATTGACGGGCAGAGCATCATTGAGGACCTGAAACGTGAGCTGGACAAGTACGAGACAGTCCTCAACAAGACGGTGAGACACTCCACCAAACTTCATTCAAAAAACGTGTATTTTTACAGACAGTTTCCCTCTGAGTGCTGTTTTATTAAAACATATCTGTGACTTTGTTTTCGGTGTAGAACACCATGAGGGAAGCACCGGCCTGCTCAAAGACCGCTGCTCACCTGAATCAGGTATATACTACACATGCGCACCATCTGATCGGCTTAAAGTGCTGCCCCCTACAGGCTGCACTGCTCATTACACTGCACAAATAGTAAACTGTAAATATTTTCCTGATGGTGGCGCTGCAGATTTTAATCTGACAACAAGCAAAGTCAAATAATTTGTAGGATGCAGCGTTAAAAAATCTGCTTAAAATCGTGTGATTTTTAATGTGTTTTGGTGCAGTTGTCCATGGTGGTCAACCGACTCATTGAGTATCAGAAGTGTGCGGAGAAGACCCAATCCTTTGTTGAGGATAAAGACAACATTTTCAAGGATGTAACCAATCTGAACGAAGAGCTGCTGAAACACCTGGTGAGTCTCCGTGCTCTGATTGGTCCATTTATACTGAGAGTCACCTGGAAGTCAGGGTTCAGGGATTACTGCCACATAGACAGAAACGAAGGAAGTTGATCAAACGGTCCAATCAGAAGACAAACATTCTGTCTTCTGATTGGACCGTTTCACTTTTATCAGCTGTTACAAGCCTGACAGGAAGTTATTGATTATGTGTATCTGTGTGTGTGTGTGTGTGTGTTTCAGGGCCTGCCGACCACCACCACCTCCTCCCACACATCCTCCTCCCGTCTCCCCTTCAACATCGCACAGGAATCCATGAGGTGCTTTCGCTGCTGGAAACAGCAGGTGGCAGCACTGAGCAGATAACGCACATGCACACACACACAAACACACACTGAGGGGTTCCCCACAATGTGACTGTGTAAACAGATATATGTCCCCACAAAGAGCTTAAACCGGAGGACATTAGACTGTGTGTGTAGGTGCTTGAACAACAGGAAGTTTATTATTATTATTATTATTATTATTATTATTATTATTATTATTATTATTATCGTTTGTCTTTCTGGAACTAAAAGACAAAAAACGTTGTTTTATGAAATATCATGTTGGGATAAATATGAGAGGACGTTTGGCCTCCACAGTTACATATATTTTAAATAATCAGCTGAACTATCCAGTGTTAGTAATTATTTATTTAATTTTTCCAATCCAGTTATAGACTGAATATAATTTGTAATCGGTTGCAAATGAATACACATTCAATCATGAGACAGGAGCACAGACGTATATACATAAGGTAAATATTAATAAAGAACCTTCAGTTAAAAAAAACAGATTTATTTGGAGATCAAAATATATTTTCTCTACAAATGAAGTTCTCAGAATGACAAATCTCACATCCATACATGCAGATTTACTCCTTTTTTTAATTAGATGGAACATAATATTTTTATATATTTATCATATTTCAGTGTGTTCAAGTGTCTATTTCTATTTATTTATATTTTATCTATTTAATTTCATTCTAATGTCATTGTTTGTGATGTTTATTTAAATGCAGATTGCAATTTGCAGCTGTATATGTACTTGACTTAACTTGATGTATTTGATTAGATGTAAATTTCTGTGTGAACACAAGAGGGCGCTGCGGATGTGCTTTTATAAACTGACCAATTTAATATATTTATATTTTATGTATTTGTATGTATTTTAAACTAAATTGTAATTCTGCTCAGATCATTTTATTATGAAGTTTGGAATAAAAAAATGAAAAGAAATAGTCTGAGTTGTTTCATTAAACCACAGTATCAGTGCAGGATGATGGAGGTGAGCTGAGCGCCACCCGCAGGCTGTGAGGAGAACCACAGGGTAGAGTGTAGGTTTAATGGCCCAGATCTTTGTCTGTCAGGCACAAGTTGCCTGACTCGTTAGATGCACTTGGACTCATCTGATATCCATTTCCAGGAAGGTTTGATAACCTCATTGACAATATTCAAACAAAATCCATTCCTGGTTCACAGCACAATGAAAGCTGCACATTTTCCACTGAGCTGTAGAAGAAACAGCTGAGAGGACACAACGAGCCAGAAGGTCATCAGGAGGAACAACTGCACTTCGCTTTGTTTGTTTGTCCTCTTATCTCTGCCAGAGAATTTTGAAGTAGAACCGATAAGTCCCCTATGAGGAGTTTGTTCAAATACGAGGCGAAAAATTCACCGAAAGTGAAAATAAAAATAAAAATGGCTGACTTCCTGTAGGGTTTTAGGTATAGGTCCAAGAGGCTTTTCTGTATGTCTTGGTGTGTTACACGTGCCTACCAAGTTTCATACATATCGGTGAAACAGGGTGCTTTGTTGAAATATTTTAGGGGGCGCTACAAACATGACAACACGATTTTTGGTATGTGAGCTACAGGCACCAGTCTACACATGCCCTGTGAATTTCATATTCATAACTATTATGGTCTACACACAGTACCACTTTGTTATTTAAACTGCCACCAGAGCGCCACCTAGAGATGGATTGTTGACATCTTTTTTAGCGAGCCTCAGGGAGGCATGGGAGACCATTGTACCAAGTTTCGTTTTAATCACACATGCCGATGTGGAGATATAAACTTCTTCATCATAAAGATGAGATAAACGATGACCTGAAATTGTGCACGATTCCTAAGGAATATGTGGAACTATGGACCCAAGCCTGGTGTCAATTGGACATACCAATGTGGAGAAATGCTTCACTTCCTGTTTTGACCATAATCTACAGGAAGTGCTAATATTATAACATGCTTATTTTTTTAAATATCAAAATACTTTAAATTACTTTTTTTGCCAGGGCGGTCTCCAGATGCTTTGTGACAAGTTTCATGCGAATCGGACAAAAGTGCATGGATGGAACACGAAAACCTAGTTTATGGACTTCTATGCAGGAGTGGGCGTGACCTATATGGGGAGATGCAGCTCTATTCACTGAACGCGTCGATGTAATGTTTTTGAATGTGAGACAAACGATGCGGGATTTAGTTTCACCACTTTGCCAAATAAAATTGCACTTTCATATATGTTCAGGGGGGCAAATTAGCAGTCAAAGTTTTCTACAAATAATATAGCTTTAGCAATTACAAGAGGGGCCTCCAGCGGTCGCTGGCTCGGTCCATAACAATAAGAAATCGAGCAAAAACAATAGGGACCTCCCAGTGGATACTGGCTTGGTCCCTAATAATAAGAAGAAATCGAGCAAAAACAATAAGGACCTCCCAGTGGATACTGGCTCGGTCCCCAATAATAACTTTAGCAAAAACAATAGGGACCTCCCAGTGGATACTGGCTCAGTCCCTAATTATAATGTTCCGGGTTTATTCCAGCAGAGATCTAGTGGGAGGAGGTCCTTTATTAACATATCCAATATAAAAGTCAACATTAACTTCAATTTTGTATTTTAGTTAATATTCACCAGCTGCTGTGTGCTTGTTGCTTTGTATAGAATGGATAGAGTGAATTGAAAATGATTCCGGCGTATTACATTTTAAATCAGCTCATCTTTAAACTCACAAGTTATAAACGAGGTGTCTTTACTTAAAGGCACAGAGAGAATTAGTTGTTGTTCAAGCCTTAGCATTTTGGAAAACATCTACTTCCAGGTAAGTAAATATGTTTAACTTATCAAACATATTATATCAGACATTGCAGATCCTTTCTTTCTATGGAAATTCCACATCTGGTGTTTGGTCGAGAGCTGATTGTTGCTCATTTGTTTTGGAATTGTTCTGGGATTGGAGTCATGAAAAGCCATTTTTGTAACTAACGTTATCCATTCTGGGACGGCTGCAAACACAACAGAGATATTAACAATATGTACAAGATTGCAAAGTGAAACCTAATCAGTAATGTCTTTGACCAGATACACAAAAAAAAGATGGTTTAAATAAACCTGTAACTCCACAAACATTTATAATTTAGTTATTGTCTTGTGACAGACTATTATCTACTAATTATCATTATTGTGTTTTCGTGGTGTGGCTATCTTGTGGTTTACATTTACGTAACTGGCACTTACAAATGATGTGGTTGTTCAAACCTGTTTTATATTCCCCGTTCATTAGTTATCAGAAGCTAACTTTCTTATCTGGACCACATCATGCATACTGACGTGGTGTGATTTAACCCCATTGTCATTGATTGTCTGTAATATTTAACCACCTGTTTCTGTTACTGTTCCTTTGGTTTAGGATCATGGCGGTGGTGAGGAGTGAGGTTATTCTCTCAGTTTACATTATTTCCTTCCTGATAGGCCTGCCAGCGAACCTCCTGGCTCTCTATGCCTTCAGTGTTAAAATCCACTCCAAGCCACAACCAACAGACATCCTGCTACTCAACCTGATTGTCTCTGACCTGCTCTTTTTGATCATCCTCCCTCTCAAGATGTATGAGGCAGTGTCAGGCATGAAATGGAATTTGCCCAATTATGTGTGCTCCATCACCTCCTTCACCTTCTTCTCCACAGTCTACACCAGCTCCTTGATGCTGATGGCAGTCAGTGTGGTTCGCTACATCGGGGTAGCTTTTCCTATCGCCTATCATCAGCTGAAGAAACCTGTGTATGCAATAGTTATCAGTGCTGTTATTTGGCTGATCTCAACTGCACACTGCAGCATTACTTTCATTACCCAGCACCACCCCTCCTTGTCCAGCAACAATGCCACCGTGTGCTATGAGAACTTCACAACAAAGCAGTTGGACATCCTCCTCAAAGTACGTTTGGAGCTTTTCATTGTGCTCTGCCTTATACCTCTTCTCATTTGTGTTTACTGCTACATGCGCTGCATCTTGATCCTGCACAGTGGACCTAGGATATCGCGGATGCAGAAGCAGAAGGCCATTGGCATGGCCGCGGGGACTCTAGCTGTGTTTCTCATTTGTGTGCTGCCATACAATGTGTCTCATTTAGTGGGTTACATCCAGGGTGAGAGCCCAAGATGGAGGTACTACACCCTGCTACTTAGCACCTTCAACACCTGTATTGATCCTATCATCTTCTACTTTTCCACTAGTGAAAGGTCACTTGTCAGGAAGCGTAAAATCGCTGTTTCAGGAGTACAAAGACAGGCAACAAGCTCTGGCTGAGAGCAAAATACACTTTCAATACAATATGTCCATATCTAGATTCAATATAAGTCTTGCACTGTATATTAGTAGTACAGATGTTATCAGAATGTGTAATGCTGTACAGACTGTTTTAACAATTCAGTTTGTTTATAAGATAATGTCTCATATCTAGAAGGAATGCAGAGATACCACTTTTTTCAGATCAATACAAGTACACGTACTTACATTTTGGTACTTGCCAAAACCGAGTACTGATATAAGTACAGTTCTACTTTGAAAACATGTTTTATTTTCATCAGATGTTCCTCACTTTCTGACTGGAACAATGCCGTTTATTTACCACAAAAACCATTTATATAGGACACAGATATGTAAAGTACAAGATAATGGCACAATTACTATTGCACAGCTACTTGTTTTTTGATGGCAAGACAAATGTCTTTTCCTTTCTATTTCTTGTTATCTTGTTTATATACATTTTATTGATGTGTAAATATAAAGTGAACATTTTTATGAATGCAAAGCTGATGAGACTGTACTAACTCATAATAAAGAGTTGCAACTTTAGGAATAAGTGTAATAAAAGAAAATCGTGAAAAATAAGAGCTTGACAGCATTGTATTTGTAATTTTCTGATTTCTTTTTCAAGAATTGACAGAGTAATATATTAACGTTCCTTCGTTTCCTTCAATTTACGATAATTTTATATATATTTTATATTGAATCTTTTTACTATCGTAAAACAGAGTATTTACACTGAACTCTACTGCACTCCTTTATTTCAACGAACCTGCAAAGAAGGTCATGAGCAGTGCCACCCAGCCTAGTATGTAGGACCAAGAGAAGCGCCAATCACCAAAGCGCTTTCCCAGGAAGTTTACAGTCACCCTGCTGTAAATGGCCATTGCAAGCAGAACAAAGAGAGCTGGTGTGATGGGCAGAGTATATTAAAATCAACGTCTGAAATAGTAAGGTCATCACATTTACAATTTCGATGGCATCGATGGCATTTATTTTTATTGTTCCCGTATTCCATGACTCACTTGAAACAAAGAACATTATCCCAGCAGAAAATGAGCGGTTGAATCTCTCAAAAGCCGAGAAGTGGGCTAAGGAGAGGATTCCTGCAATGATGCCAGCAAAGCATGACATGGCAGAGAGGATCATGAAGGCACGAGTGGCATTCCAGTAGGCTGAGGAGGAGTAAAACAAGGAAGAAAACCTACTGTAAAGATATGTGCAGGTAGATAAATACAAAGTATAAACCTTTCATATATGGATATGAATGGTTTCATACCAAAATCAACAATGTCATTTGAAAACTCACTGGGAATTATAATATTTCTCCTAACCTCTTAAACATAAACTCATTTTCATTCTATTCTAACTTTAGTCCTTGAACTTGTAAATAGTTCCAATGCACTTCTGGACTCACAGCAAAAAGGATTAACACTTATGCTGTCTGAAGGCAGTCAGCACTAAAAGCGAAGATATATATTTAAGTTTGAACATGTACAGTTTAGTTTAGATTTTCAAAACGCTGTTCAAAATATTTTGCACCATTTTACTGCATATTGCATATAGTGTATATACATCTCCTACGGGGAATCCATAAAGGTACGTCTTATGTTATGAAGGGAAGTTTCACAGTAAGTTGTCATCATCTGGTCATGATGCATAGGGAAGTGTATTTACTCCAGTACAGTGTTTACAATTTTGAGGTCCTGTTTCTTGCAATATTTTCATTTTTATTATTTTAATGCATTTTCCCATGCCATTTCAGAACTGAACTAGTGAGTTATACTGAGTTATTTCCAAATGTATTTCTCAATCTGTTTGACAGCGTTACTGTGTATTCTGTATCACTTTGTTTCAAACTTTCCCATCATGACACAGAAATAAATAACCAAGGAGGAAGTTCAGAAAGTTCAAATAAAGGTTATGAGGAGGTCTGATAATCTAGAGATAGATCTTCAGAATCATGACTTTCAATAATAAAGTGAAATGCTCACATTTTGCAGTATCAGTAGTGTCTGTATGACAGCTGGTCAGTTCTCAATATCTCAGCATATCTCAACAGAAATGTTTCCTAGACATATATCCCAACGACCCTGACTTTTCCTCTAGCGTCACCATGAGGTTGACACTGGTTATAGTTAGGAATTGGATGTATTGCCATGACATTTGGTTCAAACCTGTATGTCCCCATTAGGATGAACTCTACTAAGTTTAGTGAACCCCTGTTTTTTGATTGATCGTAATTTGTCCAATTAGCAAAACTAATAACATTCCCATCAGCTGTACTTTGTGTTTAATGGTAATTAGTAGATTTTAGCATGTTAACCCATTTTACTAAAATGCTGAACATGAACACACATCAAAATGGCCAACTTTGACGCCACGCCACGGACACGCCCTTCAACTTATAGTCACAAATCACAACTTTTAATCAGCAATGTTTTTTAAGTGTAGATGTCATTGTCAACATTTTAAGGGTCTTCTGACCAAATTTCAGCTAGATTTGTTCAATCTGCTGGGAGAAATACATTAAAGTGTAATAAATTCGACCACTAGGTGGTGCTCTCACTATAAGTTAATTTTTTCACATAGATGTGTTCAGGGCGGGACTCTTATCAATTCAATTCAATTCAATTCAATTTTATTTGTATAGCGCCAATTCATAACAGAAGTTATCTCAGGACACTTTTCAAATAGAGCAGGTCTAGACCGAACTCTTTATAACATTATTTACAGAGACCCAACAGTACCACCATGAGCAAGACCTTGGTGACAAGGGCAAGGAAAAACTGCCTGTTAAAAGGCAGAAACCTAGGACAGATCCTCCGGCTCTAGGTGGGTGGTCGTCTGTCTCGACCAGTTGGGGTAGAGAGAGAGAGAGAGAGAGAGAGAGAGAGAGAGCGACAGACAGACAGACAGGTGCACAGCAACAACAGTATTGGCAATGGCAGTCAAGCAGGACCATGGCAGGAGGCTCCACCAGGATCCATGAGAACCTGCGAGATGAGAAAGCACAAGAACTCCAGGGAAGAAGTGGAGTTAGTAACATGCATTAAAGGGACATGAATGAGTGCAGAAAGAGAGAGGAAGAGAGTAGCTCAGTGCACCATGGGAAATCCCCCGATAGTCTAGGCCTATAGCAGCATAACTAAGGGATGGTTCAGGACTCACCTGATCCAGCCCTAACTATAAGCTTTATCAAAGAGGAATGTCTTAAGCCTACTCTTTAATGTGGTGAGGGTGTCTGCCTCCCGAACCACAACTGGAAGCTGGTTCCACAGGAGAGGAGCTTGGTAACTGAAGGCTCTGGCTCCTGTTCTACTTTTAGAGACTATAGGAACCACAAGTAGCCCAGCATTCAGAGAACGTAGTGTTCTAGTGGGGTAATAGGGTACTATGAGCTCTTTAAGATATGAAGGGGCCTGACCATGAAGAGCTTTATAGGTGAGGAGGAGGATTTTAAATTCTATTCTACATTTTACAGGGAGCCAATGCAGAGAAGCTAGAACAGGAGAGATGTGATCTCTTTTTCTAGTTCCTGTCAGTACTCGTGCTGCAGCGTTCTGAATTAATTGGAGCGTTTTAATGGACTTATTGGGGCAACCTGATAATAAAGAGTTGCAGTAATCCAGCCTTGAAGTAACAAATGCATGGATTAGTTTTTCTGCATCTGTCTGTGATAGTATGTGTCTAATTTTTCTAATATTACGTGAATGAAAGAAGGCAGTCCTAGAGGTCTGCTTTATGTGGGAGTTAAATGACAAATCCTGATCAAAGATAACTCCAAGATTCCTGACAGTGGTGCTAGAGGCCAAGTTAATGCCATCTAGAGTGACTATATCTTTAGACAATGAGTCTCTAAGGTTTTTGGGGCCAAGAACAAGAATCAGACAAATGAAGTTTGGAGCCGATTGGACAATGTACACTCAAGTTAAAGCAAACTCATGTTTTGTGGCGGTACATCAGAATTTGATACCACGCCACAGACACGCCCACTCACCACATTCAACACATATCATCAACAATGTGTTTTGCATTTTATAAGTAAATTTCAGCTGGATCTGATCATCCTGCTAAGAGTAGAACATGAAAGTATAAAACGTGATACTTCCTGTTGCCACTAGGTAGCGCTCTCACTATTACTGAATATTATCACATAGACGGGTTCAGGGAGGGACTCTTATCGAACATGTGAAGTTTCATTGCAGTCGGATCATGTACGTGGAAGTTATGACAACTTTCTGTTTTCATGGCGAAGGATCGAAATTGGACGCCACGGGACGCCACGCCACATCCACAGTGTACGACGGGATAACATAAATAGCACAACTTAGAATAATGAAGGTTTTTAGATGGCTGTGTCCAAGTGGGGAGACAATCCGATAAATTTCCTGCATGCTATGCAACGGCAAAAGTAGCAAAAAATGACCACAAAATCCAAAATGGCCGACTTCCTGTTGGGTTTGAGGTATGGGTCCAAGAGGCTTTTCTGCTTCTCTTATCATGATACACATGTGTAACCGGTACGTACGTCGAGTTCTTGAACAATTGAATTTTGTACAAATTTCCATGATCATTCGAGCACGTTGCGGCCGCCAAATATGCGGTCGCATGGGCAGCAAATAATAATAATAATAATTCTTAGAAAATACAATAGGGACCTCCAGCAGTCGCTGGCTCAGTCCCTAATAATAAGAAATCGAGCAAAAACAATAGGGACCTCCCAGTGGATACTGGCTCGGTCCCTAATAATAATAAGAAATCGAGCAAAAACAATAGGGACCTCCCAGTGGATACTGACTCGGTCCCTAATAATAACTTTAGCAAAAATAATAGGGACCTCCCAGTGGATACTGGCTCAGTCCCTAATAATAAGAAATCGAGCAAAAACAATAGGGACCTCCCAGTGGATACTGGCTCAGTCCCTAATTATAATGTTCCGGGTTTATTCCAGCAGAGATCTAGTGGGAGGAGGTCCTTTATTAACATATCCAATATAAAAGTCAACATTAACTTCAATTTTGTATTTTAGTTAATATTAACCAGCTGCTGTGTGCTTGTTGCTTTGTATAGAATGGATAGAGTGAATTGAAAATGATTCCGGCGTATTACATTTTAAATCAGCTCATCTTTAAACTCACAAGTTATAAACGAGGTGTCTTTACTTAAAGGCACAGAGAGAATTAGTTGTTGTTCAAGCCTTAGCATTTTGGAAAACATCTACTTCCAGGTAAGTAAATATGTTTAACTTATCAAACATATTATATCAGACATTGCAGATCCTTTCTTTCTATGGAAATTCCACATCTGGTGTTTGGTCGAGAGCTGATTGTTGCTCATTTGTTTTGGAATTGTTCTGGGATTGGAGTCATGAAAAGCCATTTTTGTAACTAACGTTATCCATTCTGGGACGGCTGCAAACACAACAGAGATATTAACAATATGTACAAGATTGCAAAGTGAAACCTAATCAGTAATGTCTTTGACCAGATACACAAAAAAAAGATGGTTTAAATAAACCTGTAACTCCACAAACATTTATAATTTAGTTATTGTCTTGTGACAGACTATTATCTACTAATTATCATTATTGTGTTTTCGTGGTGTGGCTATCTTGTGGTTTACATTTACGTAACTGGCACTTACAAATGATGTGGTTGCTCAAACCTGTTTTATATTCCCTGTTCATTAGTTATCAGAAGCTAACTTTCTTATCTGGACCACATCATGCATACTGACGTGGTGTGATTTAACCCCATTGTCATTGATTGTCTGTAATATTTAACCACCTGTTTCTGTTACTGTTCCTTTGGTTTAGGATCATGGCGGTGGTGAGGAGTGAGGTTATTCTCTCAGTTTACATTATTTCCTTCCTGATAGGCCTGCCAGCGAACCTCCTGGCTCTCTATGCCTTCAGTGTTAAAATCCACTCCAAGCCACAACCAACAGACATCCTGCTACTCAACCTGATTGTCTCTGACCTGCTCTTTTTGATCATCCTCCCTCTCAAGATGTATGAGGCAGTGTCAGGCATGAAATGGAATTTGCCCAATTATGTGTGCTCCATCACCTCCTTCACCTTCTTCTCCACAGTCTACACCAGCTCCTTGATGCTGATGGCAGTCAGTGTGGTTCGCTACATCGGGGTAGCTTTTCCTATCGCCTATCATCAGCTGAAGAAACCTGTGTATGCAATAGTTATCAGTGCTGTTATTTGGCTGATCTCAACTGCACACTGCAGCATTACTTTCATTACCCAGCACCACCCCTCCTTGTCCAGCAACAATGCCACCGTGTGCTATGAGAACTTCACAACAAAGCAGTTGGACATCCTCCTCAAAGTACGTTTGGAGCTTTTCATTGTGCTCTGCCTTATACCTCTTCTCATTTGTGTTTACTGCTACATGCGCTGCATCTTGATCCTGCACAGTGGACCTAGGATATCGCGGATGCAGAAGCAGAAGGCCATTGGCATGGCCGCGGGGACTCTAGCTGTGTTTCTCATTTGTGTGCTGCCATACAATGTGTCTCATTTAGTGGGTTACATCCAGGGTGAGAGCCCAAGATAGAGGTACTACACCCTGCTACTTAGCACCTTCAACACCTGTATTGATCCTATCATCTTCTACTTTTCCACTAGTGAAAGGTCACTTGTCAGGAAGCGTAAAATTGCTGTTTCAGGAGTACAAAGACAGGCAACAAGCTCTGGCTGAGAGCAAATTACACTTTCAATACAATATGTCCATATCTAGATTCAATATAAGTCTTGCACTGTATATTAGTAGTACAGATGTTATCAGAATGTGTAATGCTGTACAGACTGTTTTAACAATTCAGTTTGTTTATAAGATAATGTCTCATATCTAGAAGGAATGCAGAGATACCACTTTTTTCAGATCAATACAAGTACACGTACTTACATTTTGGTACTTGCCAAAACCGAGTACTGATATAAGTACAGTTCTACTTTGAAAACATGTTTTATTTTCATCAGATGTTCCTCACTTTCTGACTGGAACAATGCCGTTTATTTACCACAAAAACCATTTATATAGGACACAGATATGTAAAGTACAAGATAATGGCACAATTACTATTGCACAGCTACTTGTTTTTTGATGGCAAGACAAATGTCTTTTCCTTTCTATTTCTTGTTATCTTGTTTATATACATTTTATTGATGTGTAAATATAAAGTGAACATTTTTATGAATGCAAAGCTGATGAGACTGTACTAACTCATAATAAAGAGTTGCAACTTTAGGAATAAGTGTAATAAAAGAAAATCGTGAAAAATAAGAGCTTGACAGCATTGTATTTGTAATTTTCTGATTTCTTTTTCAAGAATTGACAGAGTAATATATTAACGTTCCTTCGTTTCCTTCAATTTACGATAATTTTATATATATTTTATATTGAATCTTTTTACTATCGTAAAACAGAGTATTTACACTGAACTCTACTGCACTCCTTTATTTCAACGAACCTGCAAAGAAGGTCATGAGCAGTGCCACCCAGCCTAGTATGTAGGACCAAGAGAAGCGCCAATCACCAAAGCGCTTTCCCAGGAAGTTTACAGTCACCCTGCTGTAAATGGCCATTGCAAGCAGAACAAAGAGAGCTGGTGTGATGGGCAGAGTATATTAAAATCAACGTCTGAAATAGTAAGGTCATCACATTTACAATTTCGATGGCAGGCCTGGTGAACTTTTTTTAAATTTTATTTTTATTGTTCCCGTATTCCATGACTCACTTGAAACAAAGAACATTATCCCAGCAGAAAATGAGCGGTTGAATCTCTCAAAAGCCGAGAAGTGGGCTAAGGAGAGGATTCCTGCAATGATGCCAGCAAAGCATGACATGGCAGAGAGGATCATGAAGGCACGAGTGGCATTCCAGTAGGCTGAGGAGGAGTAAAACAAGGAAGAAAACCTACTGTAAAGATATGTGCAGGTAGATAAATACAAAGTATAAACCTTTCATATATGGATATGAATGGTTTCATACCAAAATCAACAATGTCATTTGAAAACTCACTGGGAATTATAATATTTCTCCTAACCTCTTAAACATAAACTCATTTTCATTCTATTCTAACTTTAGTCCTTGAACTTGTAAATAGTTCCAATGCACTTCTGGACTCACAGCAAAAAGGATTAACACTTATGCTGTCTGAAGGCAGTCAGCACTAAAAGCGAAGATATATATTTAAGTTTGAACATGTACAGTTTAGTTTAGATTTTCAAAACGCTGTTCAAAATATTTTGCACCATTTTACTGCATATTGCATATAGTGTATATACATCTCCTACGGGAATCCATAAAGGTACGTCTTATGTTATGAAGGGAAGTTTCACAGTAAGTTGTCATCATCTGGTCATGATGCATAGGGAAGTGTATTTACTCCAGTACAGTGTTTACAATTTTGAGGTCCTGTTTCTTGCAATATTTTCATTTTTATTATTTTAATGCATGTTCCCATGCCATTTCAGAACTGAACTAGTGAGTTATACTGAGTTATTTCCAAATGTATTTCTCAATCTGTTTGACAGCGTTACTGTGTATTCTGTATCACTTTGTTTCAAACTTTCCCATCATGACACAGAAATAAATAACCAAGGAGGAAGTTCAGAAAGTTCAAATAAAGGTTATGAGGAGGTCTGATAATCTAGAGATAGATCTTCAGAATCATGACTTTCAATAATAAAGTGAAATGCTCACATTTTGCAGTATCAGTAGTGTCTGTATGACAGCTGGTCAGTTCTCAATATCTCAGCATATCTCAACAGAAATGTTTCCTAGACATATATCCCAACGACCCTGACTTTTCCTCTAGCGTCACCATGAGGTTGACACTGGTTATAGTTAGGAATTGGATGTATTGCCATGACATTTGGTTCAAACCTGTATGTCCCCATTAGGATGAACTCTACTAAGTTTAGTGAACCCCTGTTTTTTGATTGATTGTAATTTGTCCAATTAGCAAAACTAATAACATTCCCATCAGCTGTACTTTGTGTTTAATGGTAATTAGTAGATTTTAGCATGTTAACCCATTTTACTAAAATGCTGAACATGAACACACATCAAAATGGCCAACTTTGACGCCACGCCACGGACACGCCCTTCAACTTATCGTCACAAATCACAACTTTTAATCAGCAATGTTTTTTAAGTGTAGATGTCATTGTCAACATTTTAAGGGTCTTCTGACCAAATTTCAGCTAGATTTGTTCAATCAATCTTCCTAATAAGAAGAAATCGAGAAAAAAACAATAAGGACCTCCCAGTGGATACTGGCTCGGTCCCCAATAATAACTTTAGCAAAAACAATAGGGACCTCCCAGTGGATACTGGCTCGGTCCCTAATTATAATGTTCCGGGTTTATTCCAGCAGAGATCTAGTGGGAGGAGGTCCTTTATTAACATATCCAATATAAAAGTCAACATTAGCTTCAGTTTTGTATTTTAGTTAATATTCACCAGCTGCTGTGTGCTTGTTGCTTTGTATAGAATGGATAGAGTGAATTGAAAATGATTCCGGCGTATTACATTTTAAATCAGCTCATCTTTGAACTTACAAGTTATAAACGAGGTGTCTTTACTTAAAGGCACAGAGAGATTTAGTTGTTGTTCAAGCCTTAGCATTTTGGAAAACATCTACTTCCAGGTAAGTAAATATGTTTAACTTATCAAACATATTATATCAGACATTGCAGATCCTTTCTTTCTATGGAAATTCCACATCTGGTGTTTGGTCGAGAGCTGATTGTTGCTCATTTGTTTTGGAATTGTTCTGGGATTGGAGTCATGAAAAGCCATTTTTGTAACTAACGTTATCCATTCTGGGACGGCTGCAAACACAACAGAGATATTAACAATATGTACAAGATTGCAAAGTGAAACCTAATCAGTAATGTCTTTGATCAGATACACAAAAAAAAAGATGGTTTAAATAAACCTGTAACTCCACAAACATTTATAATTTAGTTATTGTCTTGTGACAGACTATTATCTACTAATTATCATTATTGTGTTTTCGTGGTGTGGCTATCTTGTGGTTTACATTTATGTAACTGGCATTTACAAATTATGTGGTTGTTCAGACCTGTTTTATATTCCCTGTTCATTAGTTATCAGAAGCTAACTTTCTCATCTTACCCACCCAAAACCCCATAGAGACTGTGTCTGTCCCCCGACCACCTAAATTATTTAAAGTAATAAAAACAAGAGGAATTAAACATAAAAACCTAATAAAAATTAAAACCAACTCCTCAGTAGCACAAAATAAAAGAATGAAATGTGGGCTGTTAAATATCAGGTATCTGTCCTCTAAAGCTGTTTTAGTGAATTAATTAATATCAGATTATGATATTGATTTACTTTGTCTTACTGAGACCTGGTTGTCCCACGAGGAGTATGTTAGCCTAAATGAATCCACCCCCCCCAGTCATATTAATACTCACATTCCCCGAGGCACAGGCCGAGGAGGTGGAGTAGCAGCCATATATGATTCGAGCGTTTTAATGGACCCTAAACCTAAACTAAATTATAATTCATTTGAAAGCCTTGTTCTTAGTCTTTCTCACCCAAACTGGAAAACACTGCAGCCAGTTCTATTTGTTATAGTGTACCGCGCTCCTGGACCGTACTCTGATTTTATATCTGAATTCTCAGAGTTTCTATCAAGTTTAGTCCTTAAATCAGATAAAGTAATTATTGTAGGTGATTTTAATATTCATGTGGATGTTGACAATGACAGCCTTAGTAACGCATTTATATCATTAATAGACTCAATTGGCTTCTGTCAGAGTGTAAATAAACCAACTCATTGTTTTAATCACACTCTTGACCTTGTTCTATCATATGGCATTGATATTGAACATTTAATAGTCTTCCCACATAATCCTTTCCTATCTGACCATTATTTAATAACTTTTGAATTTCCATTATTAGATTATAAGCCATTAGGCAAAACTTCCTACAGCAGATGTCTATCTGACAGTGCTGTAGCTAAATTTAAGGAGGAGATTCCATCAGTGTTTAATTCAATGCCATGTCTGAATTTAACAGAGTCCTATAATGACTTTAGTCCCTCTGAAATTGATAATCTTGTTGATAGTGCTGCAGGCTCACTACGATCAACATTAGACTCTATTGCTCCTATAAAAAGGAAATTATTAAAAAACATAGGAAACTAGCACCGTGGTACAACCACCAAACCCGCCAGTTAAAGCAAAAAACAAGGAAATCTGAAAGGAAATGGCACTCTTCCAAATTATCAGAATATCGCTCAAATTGGCAAGATAATCTTAAAACTTATAGAAAGGCCCTCCGTAATGCCAGAGGAGCCTATTACTCAGCACTAATAGAAGAAAATAAGAATAACCCTAGGTTCCTCTTCAGCACTGTAGCCAGGCTGACAGAGAGTCACAGCTCTATTGAGCCACATATCCCCATAAACTTAAGTAGCAATGACTTCATGAGCTTCTTCTATAATAAAATTATTACTATTAGAGAGAAAATTAATCACCAACTGCCATCAACAGTTATCAGTGGCTCTCCAAGTTCAGGAACTTTAACTAATGTAAACTCAGATATATATTTAGACTGTTTTTCTGCTATCGATCTTCATCAGTTAACTTCAATCATTTCTTCATCGAAGCCATCAACCTGTCTATTAGACCCGATCCCAACTAGGCTGCTTAAAGAAGTCGTTCCCTTAATTGGCACTTCTTTACTGGATATGATTAATCTTTCTTTATTATCAGGATATTTACCACAGTCCTTTAAAGTAGCTGTAATTAAACCCCTTCTTAAAAAGCCCACTCTTGACCCAGGGGTTTTAGCCAACTATAGACCGATTTCTAACCTCCCCTTCCTCTCTAAGATTCTGGAGAAAGTAGTTGCCAAAGCAAAAACCTATGCAAATGCACTCTTGGTCTTTGGCTGGATGTTCTACCCAGTGGTACTTGGCGTGCCAGTGAGGCCTCTCACTGTGGTCATCAGCAGCTACATATGTGAGGCCACTCTTTACCACCTCCAGCTACCTTTCTTCAGCGTGGATCATTTCTTTGCCGCCTGGCTGACAGTTTACACAGTGTGACGGCCCTAGGGATGGCCTTATTCTGTTCCTCTTGCTTGGATTGTTTGCTCTTTGTTTCAGGAAGTAAGGGGTGGAGCTGAGATTACTCTCTGATGTAGCTCACCTGAGCAGGCTGGGCTCAGGAGGCTATAAGTCAAACCTGGAAGGCTTTCTCACTCTCTTCCCTTGGCCTGCTGACTGAACTACTGGTTTTTGTTTCTGTTCTGGGTTTTACATTCATACATCTACACCTCACCCTTCACTCACACAGACATTGCAGACATACTGATTTACTGATAGACATATTAAACTGTATTTATTATTTTGTTATTTACTTAATTAAATTCTGTTAACTCCCAGACTGTGTGGTCTCCCTCTTTGTCACACTCTTTTGAGCCAGGTTGTGACAAAATGGGGGCTTGTCTGGGATTTGAACCCAGGACCTCTCACACCCAAAGCAAGAATCATACCCCTAGACCGACAGCCCCCATATCCTGGGATGCAGCCAGCAGCAATGCTGTCCCATTTCCACCACTTGAGGAAGTTGGCAGTAGTAGCTGCACAACTGGATTGCTGAGGTTGGACAGCAATTGGAGCTTGCTGGCTCTGTGGAGAATGAATGGGGACTATGCAGGTGTGTTCTTCATATCTCGCAGCAGCAACCTCGCAAAGTGCGTTCTCGACGTGTGGGCTGCTACAGTGACCTTCTCAAACAGCTCAGGATGGGTGCCAGCAACTGTCTTTCCCATTGGTCCGTCCCACAGCACGAGGTCCCCCACTGAGCGGATTTTCTGCGGAGCCAGCCAACCCTCCTTGTGACTTACAAGGAGGTGGATTTCTCTTGGGCTAACCAGGTCACTGAGCGGGACGCCTAGGAAGAACTCTTGCAGTTTTTTGGCTGACACATGTCTGGGGATGTCTGCGGATGCGATGCTGTCTAGGCCGTAGCAAACCAGCTGGTGGGAGTTGAAAGTGCCTCCTGAGGTAGTGATACGGATCTTCAGGAGGTACCTCTTTGTTTTGACAAAGATTTTCATGCCTCCTACACCATGGACGACAAGCGTGATGTCTTCACTTCTGAGACTGAGCTGACCTGCTGCCTCATGGGTGATATAATTAGTGTCAGAAGCTAGGTCGATCAGTGTCCTAATTTTCTGCCCAGCATTGGCTGTTACCTCCAAAAGCATCATGATGACAGGCCACCCTGCCAGGCCGCTCTCTGCTAGAAGACTTGAGTGACGCTTTGCGACATGGAAGTCCTCAACACTGTGTTGCAGAATGTGTCCCGGCATTGTTGGGCTAATTCAGGTGAGAGCTTTCTGAAGAATTGTTCCTGTGCCTCGGTGTAATTCCTCTTGTTGCCACCTCCCACTGTGCTGCCTTTGCTCTTCCTCTGGGCCGTACTGCCTCTGGATGCTTCAGCATTAGGACACAGATAGTAATGGTGGTCTGTGGCTCTCTTGTCCTCACACTGTGGATCTTTGCACAGGAATTAAGTTTTGCAGAGATTATCATCATCATGGACATCCAGACATTTCCAGCAGGCTCCCAGTTTTTGCACTGCATCCTTCTTCTCTGAGCTTAAGCACATGGAACTTTTTGCAGAAGTACAACCTTTTCTTATGCTTGATGTCCCCACAGACGACACACCCTAAAAGATGGCTACTTGACTCTGTTCAAGGCTCTGGTTCTGGCTTGCCTTTGCTCAGGTCGGATTTCCTTCCTTGGCGGCTCTTCATCCCTCAATTGGTCCAGCTGCTCATAGATGCATAGAGAAGTCACTCTTCAGTGCATCAGAAAGCTTGCTTTCAAATGACTTTGTCACCACAGGGTTCTTTAAGGCGCCAGTATCACCAAGGTCACTCGGGTCTTCAAGGGCTTTCTCAACAGCTTGGATGAGCTCAACAGTTTTCCTGGGCTGGCGACCTTTGACAACTGGAAGTCTCTAGAGCTCCGCAACTATTTCTATAGCAATCGCAGTTTGGTTTCCAAACCAGTTCTCCAGGACCTGAAAGATGTCGTCTGCTGTTTTGTAGGTCATCAATCGAAGATTTCTCATTATTTTTTCATCCAAACTGTCAAGAAGCTGGAACTTTGACTTCTTTTGACCCAGTGGGTTCTCCTTGCCTCTGAAGGGCCTCCAAGTCTCTTTTCCAGCGATAAAAAGTCTCACCTGATGCCAGTAAACTTGGGGAGGGAGGTTGGCTTCAGTCTAATAGCTGATGACGGGTAGCTGATGGAAGCTCCGCTCCCAACTCTTTCGGTGTCTTCAGCTTTTGCTTGAATAAACTCTGCTTTCCTTGACATTAACTTGGGAATGCTCTGCTCAAGCCCTCGTTCACGCAGCTGGAAGTCTGTCTGCTCAGCAGGAGGGGCCCAACACTTCCACTGTGTGTGCAGCTCTTTTGCCCTCTTAACCGGTCTTTCCATGTAGTCGAACATGAAGTCAAAGGCCTCTTTATTTCCGCCAGGTTCAAAGGACGTCACACTCTCGACCTTCTCCTCTGCAGCCTTTACCACCATCATCAGTTCCTCCTCTCCAAAGTTGTCCCAGAGTGTCTTTTGGATGAGGTCCTTCAGCTCTTTCAGCTTCATCTCACACTCACTTGCAGTTTTCCCAATATTGGCCTTTTGCTGCTCGCTCAACCCAAGAACTACTTCAGGATCTGCATCCAGCTCTGCCTCTGCAAGGTACTGAGCCTCCACATCATCATTGGCTTCCATGACTTTGTTGGCCTCTATTATGAGCTTTTTGAAACTGTCTATGAGTTCCTCTTCAGCCATTATGGCGTGCATCCGGACAACGTTGTTGGCCAGTATGGAAAATTGTCGCTTCACAGATCTCCTATTGGCTTTAAACTGCTCCTGTAACTTTGAGTCAGCCATCTTCTTTTCCAGCAGGATTGAGTAAGGTGAAGTTCAGTGTGTTACCAGGCCTCTGGACTTCCAGGCCTGGCCAGTTGCTGTTCAGGATTCTCTGCTCTAGTCTTCACAGCAGTGGTTTTTCACTGTCAAGTTGCCCTCACTTTTGAGAGGTTTGACATGCAGTTACCCCCACTTGAAAAGGCATCTTGCTTTGGAAGATTATAACTGGAAGTCACTCAGTGACCAAGATTCAGCTTTCTTTATTTTCTTTCTTTTATTTGAAGGTTGCCGAGGCCAATAGCAGATGAAAAACCTTAAATACAAACATTAAGAAAATGTAGAAACCATAATGAATCACCATAATCCAAACTCAAATACTGAATTTTTTACCTACTAGAAATTAATCTAAAAAATAAGTAGGAAATCAACATTTAAAGTACCCAAACTAAATTTAATAAATTTTAAAGCACTGTTCAATGATGATTTTACGTAATGATCTTTAGCAGCTTTTACAGCTTTTAGATACACATAAATCACATTTATCTAATTACTTTTAGCTTGAAAACTTTAAGTACACCACATTTCTTAACTTCTTAACCCATATATTACATATATCACATTTAAACTTGCGTTTAAATCACATGACTTTTTAATACATCACATTTTAACCTAAATGAACTAAATGAAAGCTCACCGGCTCCTTCTTCATTGATTGAAACAAGCTTTAGTCCTGCAGTCCAGTCTCTCCAATCATTTCTGTCACATTGCTTCCTCTTACCATGCTGTGAGTGAATGCCTTTAAACTCCCCAACTGTCTGTCTCTCTGTCTCTCTCTCTCTCTCTCTCTCTCTCTCTCACCACATCTGGTTGAGGCAGACGACCACCCACCTAGAGTCGGGGACTGTCCTAGGTTTCTGCCTCTTAAAAGGCAGTTTTTCCTTGCCGCTGTCGCCAAGGTCTTGCTCATGGTGGTACTGTTGGGTCTCTGTAATTAATGTTTTAAAGAGTTCGGTCTAGACCTGCTCTATTTGAAAAGTGTCCTGAGATAACTTCTGTTATGAATTGGCGCTATACAAATAAAACTGAATTAAATTGAATAAATGGATATTTCTGTTTTAATTTGCTTCAGTATTTATTTACCTTTGCATTAATTCCGCTTTTTTACTTTCTAATTTAATTACATTTGTTCATTTATTTTGTTATTTATTTTTTATTTTGGCGGTCCTCCATGATCACATGCTCACTGGCTCTAAAACAATCAATCCCAGACTAATTATAAAACAATCCAACAAACCACCGCTTTATTTAACAAAATGTTTTAGTTCAAATCTGTGTTTCTTTTTTATACACATATCATATGTGATATTTAATTTATTCTAGACGTCACATAACGATTAATCAGATTCCATAAAAACATTATCTTAAAATTCCTTTAACATCTGGGGTTTCAGTTACAACCATATAAATACAGACGTTGTCATTATTTGTAGTATAGATTAGAAGAACTATCCTGGGCTGGCTTCCGGTGCCATAATTTCAGTGTTGGTTGTCATGGTGATAAGCCAGGTGGGCGGGGTCTACATGGTTTAGGTAGTCATGGTGATGTTCTGGGTGGATGGGGTCTATGTAACCATCATCAGGCTCTATGTAAGCGTAGTTCTGCTCTCCATAGTCCAGCTCATCTTCAGGGGTGTGGTCCAGGTGGGAGTGGTCAGGGTCAACCAGAGGTCTTTTGAAAGCGGCATTTCTGCCAAACGCGCGGTACAGGTACACCATGATGACAAACTGAACGACCTAGAGAGCAATGGAGTAGAGGACAGCAACAGCTGAACTGATGGCGAAGAAAGAGAATGCTCAAATTCTAATGTTTTAAAAACATGATGGAGAAGAGACACTGCCACAGTTGGACAGAACAGGAAGCAGGAACGCTCATCAGGATGTATTTGTGTATATGTTCCTACTGGTTCCTGTCCTAGAAAGACAGCTTTTATTACCTGGATTAACATGAGACCGACATCCATGCCAACGACCGTCAAAACGTTTTCCTGCAGCCAATCACTGAGCTTCTCTTTACATCCCTGCAACACACATCAAACATGATACAATTCAATTCAATTTAAATTCAATTCAATTTTATTTGTATAGCACCAATTCATAACAGAAGTTATCTCAGGACACTTTTCAAATAGAGCAGGTCTAGACCGAACTCTTTAAAACATTATTTACAGAGACCCAACAGTACCACCATGAGCAAGCACTTGGCGACAAGGGCAAGGAAAAACTGCCTGTTAAAAGGCAGAAACCTAGGACAGATCCTTCGGCTCTAGGTGGGTGGTCGTCTGCCTCGACCAGTTGGGGTGAGAGAGAGAGAGAGAGAGAGAGAGACAGAGAGACAGACAGACAGACAGACAGACAGACAGAGAGACAGACAGGTGCACAGCAACAACAGTATTGGCAATGGCAGTCAAGTAGGACCATGGCAGGAGGCTCCACCATGATCGATGAGAACCTGCGAGACGAAAAGCACAAGAACTCCGGGGAAGAAAGGAAGTTAGTAACATGCATTAATGGGACATGAATGAGTGCAGAAAGAGAGAGGAAGAGAGGAGCACAGTGCACCATGGGAAATCCCCAGATAGTCTAGGCCTATAGCAGCATAACTAAGGGATGTTTCAGGACTCACCTGATCCAGCCCTAACTATAAGCTTTATCAAAGAGGAATGTCTTAAGCCTACTCTTTAATGTGGTGAGGGTGTCTGCCTCCCGAACCACAACTGGAAGCTGGTTCCACAGGAGAGGAGCTTGGTAACTGAAGGCTCTGGCTCCTGTTCTACTTTTAGAGACTATAGGAACCACAAGTAGCCCAGCATTCAGAGAACATAGTGTTCTAGAGGGGTAATAGGGTACTATGAGCTCTTTAAGATATGAAGGGGCCTGACCATGAAGAGCTTTATAGGTGAATTCTATTCTAAATTTTACAGGGAGCCAGTGCAGAGCACAAACAGAACATACACAACAGACAGAACGTACACAACAAACAGAACGTACACAACAAACAAAACGTACACAACAAACAGAACGTACACAACAAACAGAACGTACACAACAAACAAAACGTACACAACAAACAGAACGTACACAACAAACAAAACGTACACAACAAACAGAACGTACACAACAAACAGAACGTACACAACAAACAAAACGTACACAACAAACAGAACGTACACAACAAACAAAACGTACACAACAAACAAAACGTACACAACAAACAGAACGTACACAACAAACAGAACAAACACAAAAAACAGAACGTACACAACAAACTGAACATACACAAACAGAACAAACTAATAAACACAAGATAAATAAAGTAATAAAGATAAGATGTTCTATAGATAAACAGTGACTATGTACTCTGTGTGAGAACTGTATTACCTGCTCATACGAGGTGTTTCCTCGTCCGTACACTGGGGCAGTGAAGTTGAGCAGCTCGGAGCACCAGGGCGAGTTAAAGCTGGGACGATACGAGCTAAAACAGGAACAAGGGAGTACATCTGGATTGGTCAGGTTCAGACTCTTGATATAAGAGTTCTTCAGCCAATCGGCAGGGCCGTTTATGCCACAGCACGCGCCCTGTTAATCAATCAAAATCCGTCAACACATCAATCAGCTATTTAGTTTGAGATCGAGCACAGAGTCACACATATTAATGAGCAGTAACATTTTATCAGTGGGAATAAAACCAGCAACCCCTTCTGCTGAGTGACTCACATATCGATGTGCGTCGTCCATGAATCTGTCCGTACTCTCACTGCTTCCTCTGTACTGAAGGATGATCTGATCCACTGTGTCCTCCAGAGTCCGTTCAATCTGATCACAGCATGCATCACACGTTAGAAACCCAACACACAACCACACGTTACAAACACGACACGCATCACACCTTAAGTTTTGTGGAACAAGTTGCCTTTGAATGAATTATACAGAAAAACAGGGTTTTAGAAAAAGATGCAGTGAAATCAGAAACTTTAGGCCTGTGAACAATATTTTAACAAACATCTGTCTGATGGCAAAATCCACCAAAATAAAAGACTCACCTTGTCTTTGCTTACAAGAAGCAACAGTGTGACAAACAGCTGACCCAGGACCAGGACGATGAGGAAGCCCATGTACTGAGGAGGAAGAGCAGAGCAGTGTTAATGAGGGAGGGAGAGATGTGAGGCGTCCATGTTTGTTAGGTTTTGTTTGGACACTTTAGCTCCATGTCAGAAAATCACTATTTCACTGTTGTAAGTTAATTATTAACAAGTCATTAACTGGTGATTACAGAAAGTCCCACATGACGTGAACGCAGCATCAGCCTCACTTCCTGTCTGCGAGCTCAGAGGTTGTATGACGCTGTCAAACTATCACCACCCATTTTATTTTTTAAACATAAAAACGAATTATTATGAGATAAAATAATTAGCATATTTTTGACTTTTTAATAAATAATACATAATTAAAATGTAATAATTTTGATGTGCTTCCATCTGTAACTCACCATCAGCAGCAGGATTCTTTTCTCTCCAGCAGCTCCCAAACATCCAATGAGAGCAACCAGCAGCACCACTCCACCAATCAGCAACAGCCCCGCCCCCACAGTGCGCAGCTCATCTGCACACACACACGTTTACTTATGTCACTTCTGGGGACTTTACATACTAACACATTAATTCTCTGGACGGTGTTACCACTGACTCAGACATCAGCTTACTCTGATCTGATCACCTGTGCTTCCAGGCTTTGTGCTAAGCTAGGCTACATTATCTGTGAATGTTATACTGGTGCTATAATGATCGATGAATCTTCAATAAATACTACAGTTAGTCATGGAGTTCCACAAGGTTCTGTACTTGGACCAATACTATTTACTTTATATATGCTCCCTTTAGGCAACATTATTAGGAATCACTCCATTAACTTTCACTGTTATGCAGATGATACGCAGTTATATCTATCAATCAAGCCCGATGAAATTAATCAATTATCTAAATTACAAACATGTCTTAAGGACATAAAATCCTGGATGAGCTGCAATTTTCTGATGTTAAACTCAGAAAAAAACGAAATTCTTGTTCTTGGCCCCAAAAACCTTAGAGACTCACTGTCTAAAGATATAGTCACTCTAGATGGCATTAACTTGGCCTCTAGCACCACTGTCAGGAATCTTGGAGTTATCTTTGATCAGGATTTGTCATTTAATTCCCACATGAAGCAGACCTCTAGGACTGCCTTCTTTCATTCACGTAATATTAGAAAAATTAGACACATACTATCACAGACAGATGCAGAAAAACTAATCCATGCATTTGTTACTTCAAGGCTGGATTAATGCAACTCTTTATTATCAGGTTGCCCCAATAAGTCCATTAAAACGCTCCAATTAATTCAGAACGCTGCAGCACGAGTACTGACAGGAACTAGAAAAAGAGATCACATCTCTCCTGTACTAGCTTCTCTGCACTGGCTCCCTGTAAAATGTAGAATAGAATTTAAAATCCTCCTCCTCACCTATAAAGCTCTTCATGGTCAGGCCCCTTCATATCTTAAAGAGCTCATAGTACCCTATTACCCCTCTAGAACACTACGTTCTCTGAATGCTGGGCTACTTGTGGTTCCTATAGTCTTTAAAAGTAGAACAGGAGCCAGAGCCTTCAGTTACCAAGCTCCTCTCCTGTGGAACCAGCTTCCAGTTGTGGTTCGGGAGGCAGACACCCTCACCACATTCAAGAGTAGGCTTAAGACATTCCTCTTTGATAAAGCTTATAGTTAGGGCTGGATCAGGTGAGTCCTGAACCATCCCTTAGTTATGCTGCTATAGGCCTAGACTATCGGGGGATTTCCCATGGTGCACTGAGCTCCTCTCTTCCTCTCTCTTTATGCATTCATTCATGTCCCTTTAATGCATGTTACTAACTCCACTTCTTCCCCGGAGTTCTTGTGCTTTCTCGTCTCGCAGGTTCTTATCGATCCTGGTGGAGTCTCCTGCCATGGTCCTGCTACATTGCCATTGCCAATACTGTTGTTGCTGTGCACCTGTCTGTCTGTCTGTCTGTCTGTCTGTCTGTCTGTCTGTCGCTCTCTCTCTCTCTCTCTGCCTCTCTCTCTCTCTCTCTCTCTCTCTCTCTCTCTCTCACCCCAACTGGTCGAGACAGACGACCACCCACCTAGAGCCGGAGGATCTGTCCTAGGTTTCTGCCTTTTAAGAGGCAGTTTTTCCTTGCCCTTGTCTCCAAGGTCTTGCTCATGGTGGTACTGTTGGGTCTCTGTAAATAATGTTTTAAAGAGTTCGGTCTAGACCTGCTCTATTTGAAAAGTGTCCTGAGATAACTTCTGTTATGAATTGGTGCTATACAAATAAAATTTAATTGAACTGAATAACTGTAAGCTAAAGAGCAGCAGTGTCACCTGACGGGTGGATGGTGAGGAGGCTTCCTGTGCCAAACAGGATCCAGACTGCACATCCGGCTACACTCAGACCCAGAGCCTGCAGACAGAGGTCAGAGGTCAGAGGTCAGCTGCAGTTAATGTGTTCAATCTAATAAACATTGCTGGACAAGAAGTGGTGTATGTTTTTATCACATATTCAAACCCAACAACCATCAATACTGTATACCTGTAGTATTTTATATATAAATACATACATATATATTATATATATTATATATGTACACTTAACTACTTCACTACCAGTCAGAGAGCTAACGTTACACAAGCAAGATTAAAAGTCAATAACAGTAAATATAATCTGACAGTATGTTTAACAACTGAACTAGCTAGCTATTAGCCATGTGACTGTCCACTGGCTGTCAGATATATTGATCACATATTGATAGATTTGATTTGCTTAATTTAGAACGGTGAACAGACAGTTTCACTGGAACTAGTCAGTGTCCTACATCTGGAAGTAATGGACACCCAGCAGCCAATCAGAGTGCAGGATTCACTCAGACAGATGGTAAATATAAACGTTTGAACTCACCAGGAAGACGCAGTTAAAGACCTGAGAGCAGAACTTCAGCAGCTGAATCCGCACCTCCAGCTTCATCTCTCCACAGCAGGTCCAGGTCTTTATCAGGTCCGATTCCGTTAAACCACAGCAGATTCTTCAGTCCTGTTCTCTGTCCGAGTCTGAGTCACAATAACACCTGAGATCAGAGTTCACTTCCTCATTGTCTCTACACATTAAACTGACCTGACCGTCGCCATGGAAACACACACACGCACGCACACACACACACACACACACACACACACACACACACACACACACACACACAATCAATCCTGCTGCTGTTTACTTCCTTTCCCATCATGCCTTTCAGCAGCTAATGGAGCAACAAACCAGGAACAAGGAAACAGACAGATATATTTACAACTTCACCAAAGGTTGATGAGTCATGTGTCTGAAACAGTTAATTATTCATTATTACATTATATATTATATATATTATATAAAACATTATAAATCTGTTTATTGTTCATATTCTGGATTCTCAGTTGGATCTTTAAACAAATTTGGAAAAGAAATTTGAACAAAATTATTAGTATTAATTAATATTAATATTATCCAGCAATTAACAAAATATCATTAATTTACTCCTTATTTTAGTGAAATAACATATGTTCACTTTCACATTTAAAAACCTGTAAACAAACTATTAATTAATGTAAACTCTTTCATATTTTGTTTTTTATTTATTTTTGTCAAGGAACAGATTTATTATTATTTATTCATAAATGTAATATATTATATAATATAATATATATATTAGGAAAGAAAATGTTCGCCAAATGTAAAGAAGTGGAAGTGATGTCACTCTATTAAAGGACCCATCACCTGCAAACAAAAACAAAACAAAGAATAATAAACAACCTTCAATCCAAAGAAAAAGGATTCTTGTTTATCCAGCAGAGGTCTGAAACCCTCTCTGCAGCCTGACCTTTGACCCCACATTACAGATTCAGAGTGAGTCTCTAACAGCCTCACAGGGGTCAAAGGTCACTGCTTGTTCCCACGTTCATCATCAGCAACATGCCGGAATTTTTACTGCCGGGCAGACAGCCAATCAGATTCATCCATCTGGTTACCATGGCGCCGCCTCCTTTTCTGATGTGGTTACGTCTTTGTGTCCAAACCAGTCAATCACCTTTAACTGCAGGTAACCATAGCAACCACAGCGATAATGCAGACCGTTAC